CAAAAAATTAGCTGGGCATGGTGGCACGTGCCTGTAATCCCAGCTACTCAGGAGGCTGAGGCAGGAGAATTGCCTGAACCCAGGAGGCGGAGGTTGCGGTGAGCCAAGATCGCACCATTGCACTCCAGCCTGGGTAACAAGAGTGAAACTCTCTCTCAAAAAAAAAAATTAGAGACAGAGTATCACTCTGTCACCCAGTCTGGAATGCAATGGTGTGATCCTAGTTCACTGTAGCCTCATGCTCCTGGGCTTAATGGGTTCTCCTGTCTCAGCCTCCTGAGTAGCTAGGACTACGGGCACATGCCACGATACCCGGCTATTTCTTTTTTTCGAGATAGAGTCTCAACTCTGTTGCCATGCTTGAGTGCAGTGGCATGATCTCCACTCACTGCAATCTCTGCCTCCTGGGTTCAAGCAATTCTCCTGCCTCAGCCTCCTGAGTAGCTGGGATTATAGGCATGCACCACCATGCCCAGCTAATTTTTGTATTTTTAGTAGAGATGGGTTTTCACCGTGTTGACCAGGATGGTCTCGATCCCCTGACCTTGTGATCCACCCACATTGGCCTCCCAAAGTGCTGGGTTTACAAGCGTGAGCCACCGCACCTGGCATTTTTTCTTTTTTTGTAGAGATGGGGTTTGGTATGTTGCCCAGGCTGTCTCAAACTCCTGGCCTCAGGCAACACCCTGTCTCAGCCTCCCTAAATCCTGGGCTTATAGGCATGAGCCACCATGCCCAGCCCTCTTAGCCATCTCTACCAAAAAAAAAAACAAACAAACCCATGTATATATACATATATAAATACATATTTATATGTTATATATTTTATACACAATATAGATATATATACATACATATATATATATACACACATATATATATATTAGCCAGGCACGGTAGGTAACCCATGCCTGTAGACCTAGCTACTCAGGATGCTGAGGTGGGAGGATTGTTTCAGCCCAGGAATTCGAGGCTGCAGTGAACTATGATCATGCCACTGCAAGCCATCCTGGGCAAGACAGCAAGCCCCTGTCTCTAATAATAATAATAATAGGTAAAATAAAATATATTTACTATTCATTAAGTGGAAGTGGATCATCACAAATGTTGGCTGAGTAGGCTGAGGAGGAGGAGAAAGAGGAGGGGGTTAGTCTTGCTGTCTCAGGGCAGAGGTGGTAGAAAATCTGCTTAAAAGTGGATTTATGCAATTCAGACTCATGTTGGTCAAGTTCAACTGCATAAATAAGTAAGGTAGGTAGGGCACATTAGATGGTGATGTACTATAGAAAAAAAATGGATCTGGGGAAAGCACTTTGGGTGTGGGAAGGGTGTCTACAATTTTTTTTTTTTGAGACAGGGTCTCCCTCTGTCACCCAGGCTGCAGCGCAGTGGCTTGATTGTAGCTCACTGCATCCTGAATCTCCTGGGCTCAAGTGAGCTTCCTGCTTAGTCTCCCAAATAGGTGGGACTATAGGCTCATGCTACCATGCCTGGCTGATGTTTTTCTTTTCTTTTTTAAGATGGGGTTTCACCATGATGGCCAGGCTGGTCTTTTTTTTTTTTTTTTTTGAGACAGAGTTTCGCTCTTGTTACCCAGGCTGGAGTGCAATGGCGCGATCTCGGCTCACCGCAGCCTCCGCCTCCTG